TTTTTTTTTTCCTTTTTGTCTTTTTTCGTGACCGGCAACGGATCGCAACCCTCAGTGTCGTTCGCGCCCGTACCGGACCGGGACCGGCAACGGGATCGCAACCCTCGGTGTTGCTCCCACACCTCGCTCAGCCAGTGAGCGGGAACCGGTCTGTATGTGGGATCTGAACCCTCGGCGGGAGCGCCGCCGCACTTCCCAAGCGGTGCACTGTAGCAGTGCGCCACCGGGCCGGCCCCAAAATATGGTATCATTTTTATCCATTATTATATTTGCCTTTATTTCTCTGGTTGTTGTTTGCCCAATCTGATAAATTTGAATCAGAAAAATACATGTAAGATAGTTCAACTTAATCAGCTGAGAATATAAATCTAAGATATGTACTGCTAGGGCTAGGGCTCACAGACCCCTCAAGCCCGTTGTACAGACGGGGTCACAAACCCTTCACATGCAAATCCACAAGCTAGGTAATAGGAAAAGATCCTGGAAGTCATGGGTAAAAGATTAATAGGCTTTATTCAAAGATAGAAGCAGCCGCCCTAGTGGCCTACTGGAGCGTCCCAAGAAGTGCCATGTACCAGAGCCATTAGTCCTTTATACTTAGGTCCATAACCCAGGACACCTGGGTGCCCATACACAATTACATTAGATGGTAACCAAGGAACACCTGGGTGCATGTAGCTATTTACAGCAAATGCTCAGCAAGATTCTGAACATCTGAGGGGCCTTGACCATTTTCCTATATTTTCCCTACAAGACATGAGTGCAAAATTTCGTTTTCATTTAAAAATGATATCTTTTTTGGAATGCAACATTTAAAGTGAATAGTTTAACACAATTTAGTATTTGTATGTGTATATTTAGTATGTGTATATATATATATATATACACACATACACTCACAAACATACACAGACACTATTTTTATTACTTGTATTATCTCAACTCAGTAGAACAGTTACCAAGATTGAGGTTTATTGTGGTTTAACAACTGTCTTTGCTCGTAAGATTCTTCTTGTAGTCTTAACATAATACCATCACAAAAGAACAAAAATGTACCAGTTTACAACACAGGGTTTAGTAATGGTTAGGTAGTCCTTAGGTTCTCCATCTTCTGCTATGATAAATTTTAATCATTTTGAGAACCATGGTAGTGGATGTATCATCCCATTTATACATCTTTTGTATCATGGATGTGGGGGGATGTATCAGTTCAGTATAGACTCAGGATTCATATGACTAAAAAAAATGGATGTTTACAGATTACTTCATCTACATAATATTCTTACTTAGTATTTCAATTATTTTAATCGCATTAGCCCTCCATCATCCCCAGTTTAATTAGTAGGAACACAAAAATTTTATCTTTGGTGCCAACTGCCAAAAGAGCAACACGTTTATGTTTTTATTTGCTTTTACTCTGTAATAGGTATTAGAATATTTTACATAGCCTCAGATTCACATGTACTCTTATGTGTGTAGTGGCATATCCTTCACACTGATAAAAATATGTAGAAAACCTGAATAAACAGTTTTCTTTCTTTCTTTTTTTTTATTTTTTAAAGATGACCAGTAAGGGGATCTTAACCCTTGACTTGGTGTTGTCAGCATCACGCTCAGCCAGTGAGCGAACTGGCCATCCCTATATGGGATCCGAACCCCGGGCCTTGGTGTTATCAGCACCGCACTCTCCCGAATGAGCCACGGGCCGGCCCAAACAGTTTTCTTTAAACACTGCTTACAACCGAGTGGAAATTGGCAAAGTTTTGAAATAACAAATAAGTATATTAAACTCACCAAGAACCAAAATATGACTGTAATATTTTATGTATTTCTTAGAACTGTATCAAAAAATTTTGGTATTTAATAAATGCTATACCTAATATGAGGCTATGGGTAGGTATAAATCATGAAAAAATTGTATACTTTGATAGAGTGCTGTAGCTTCTGATAATTCTCTTTTCTTGAATTTATATTTTTTAGGTTTTTTGTTTAACCTGTCCTATCTAAGTGTCATGTTAAAAAAGCTAATGCACATTTAAATCAGAAAAAGGAAGCAATCATATTCTTCTTTCTTGTTTCTGTCACTTTTTATCATCAGAAATAGTTGGCCATTGGCCAACATCTCATGATCTGGAGAAATAATTGGAAGTCTACTGGAGGGAGACTAGATGTAAAACGGCAATCAGGTAAATTACAACACAAATGTGGTAAGCGATATTATACACACCTAAATGTAATTAAATCTCTAAAAGTTTTAAGCAATATTTCCCAATTACAGTGTTTCAAGGAAAAATACAAATGTGAGGCCTTTGTTAAACTTCCAGAACAGGATAAAGCATCACTGGACTCAAAGACTCTCATGGGCAGGGACTTCCTTTCTGGTTTACCTTTGACTGATAGGCCTAGCGCAGAGTCCGCCTTCTGCTATGATGCTCTGCCAATATTTATTAAATGGACTTTTTGCATCTAAGTGTTGAAAGGATCATTGTACTGCCAATAAATCAGATTTAAAAATAAGAGAATGTTGCACCTTTTTGTCCTTCTTCAGGATGTTTTCTCCTGTCCTAGGGGTTCAGGTGAAGGGAGTGGGGGTTGGGGGCGGAACTGACCAGGAGGAGGAACCTGAAGTCGAAGGGGGCAAGGAGGAAGACTCTCTTCTCTCTCCTTACATACTTTGGTGTCATCTTGACTTCTTTCTGGTTCCTTATCTGAAACACGAGGCGACTAGATTACAATTACGGCCTGTCTCTGAACCCTGTGGACCTAATTACTTTCGGGCCTTTTTCATCTTCCGATCTTTTCCTTCCTACATCCCTGGTTCATGGATACTTTGGTACTTGTTTTTCATCCCCAAACTTCCCTTCCCCCTTAAATTAGTTAAGGAAACAACCTCTTTTCTATCCTCACAGTGACTTATAAACGATGTCTGAGGAATGCATGATGAAGATTTTAATGCCAATCCCAATTCCAAGTGAGAATGGTAGTCTCAGCCCCTCCTGGGTTAGCCTCTATTTTGAGCAGTGGTGATGCGAAGGCAAGTCCTGCACGTATGTCTTACAGAGGAGCGCCCGGAGGGCGAGAGGGATTACCTACCCAAGGCAGGTGGGCAAGATAGGGTCAGGTATCGCAAGATACGGCCGTCCTCTCACCTCGCAGGGTACGCGCACGTGAAAGTAGAGTTGCTGCCGTGGGGGCTTGACCCGCCCTCTCTTCGCGAGGGAAGCAGAACGAAGCGCAGGGGTGCACGCGCCAGGCCCGCAGTCCCCTCCCCGCGCCGCGCACGCCCTAAGTAAGCGCCTGAGGCCCCGCCCCTCCCCGGCCTCTGCTCGCTGGCCGCGGGCTCAGGGGGCGGAGAGAAGGCGCAGCTGCAACTTCGCCTAGAACCTTTGAGCCTGGGCTCAGCCGGGGATCGAGCTGCCGTCACTGCGCAGAGGCTGCTTCCTCGGCCGGGGCCTCAGCCCAGCCGGCTTGGCCATGGCAGCCGCC